TTAATACGAAACTTTGTCTCTGGTTGTGGGAACTTTGTTTTTTCTTTCAGTTCTGTATTGGATTATTTGCTGATCCTACCACCTAAACTCTGCTGGAACTAATTTGTAGTCCTTTGCTTACTTCTAAAATGGGGGAACTTCCTGTGGGGACCAGTACTTGAGCTATGTGGTTTAAATTGCTGCTTTGCTGCTTATTCCCTAGGGAAGGCTTTTTGTGCAGCTCAGGTTTTAATGGTTGATTTTATAGGTACTTTCGGCTCTCGAGAGATCCAGTGCACCTGGGTTGTGTAGACACTCTGGTCTGGGCCTGAGTCTTTTCATCAAACTGCACCCTGTGTAATTCCTGACCAGTGTCCTCTGAGTGGTCCTACGCTGATTGAGAGGCAGATCAGCTGTCCTTGCTGTGCCCCAATGTTTCCCCAGTGGGCCCTTCTCCCGCACCACCCATGCTACAAACACTTCCCACGGGACAGGCTGTGCTCAGGTCCCTTGCAATGACTCACCAGTCTCTAAGTGGCTCCTTTTTTTCAGTTGTTGTGGTTCTTCACTCCTATGTGGGTCCACAGGAACTCTATTAGTGGTCTTGTAGGCCTGGGGGCCACTAAGGCCGTCTTCTCCCCTGCCGCCTCCAAGCAACTTTATCCGAAGGGCACAGTTGTGGCTCTTGCTGGCTCCTGCTCTGTACTCTCACCAGCTCCAGCCTGGACATGGCTGGGGCTTGAAATGGTCAGAGCAGTCCTTTCTTTCTCTCATCGTGGCTTCTACTGCCTTCGTGCACTCCATAGGTGCACTCCTCCTCTTCCCCTGAGCTCTAGTGGCCCCAGCTTGGCTGTCCTTGCTTTTTTTTTTTTTTTTTTAAAGATCCCCTGGTAAGGGGCTCTTAACCCTTGTCTTGGTGTTGTCAGCACCACACTCAGCCAGTAAGCGAACCAGCCATCCCTATATAGGAGCCGAACCCGTGACCTTGGTGTTATCAGCACCACACTCTCCCGAGTGAGCCACAGGCCGGCCCTGTCCTTGCTTTTTTATAGTTGTAAATTGGTTGATTTGTGGAAGAGAATGATGCTGGGGACTATCTGTTCCACCATCTTGACTGGAAGTCTGTTTTTGTTTTACATAAAAACTTGCCCTTTTCCTTATATTCTGGTAAATTTAAGATGCAGATTGGAAAGGGAACTTATTTGAGGAAACTGAGAATGATATATTTTTTAAATGAAGATTAGTTGTAGAAGTTCACGATATTGTAGTATTATATATCTATCTCAACCCCCTTAAAATAACTCCCAGATGGCAGTGTTCTCGTTTAATGAGTTATATGTTTGTTTCTGTAATGTTCCAGTTTTAAATTATAATCAGTGTTACTGAATTGGGCTTTTTTTAAAAAAAAAAACATAAAAGGTGATGCATTTTACATTTTCGGTATATATCATTTACCTTTTTCTCTTTTTAGAAACTATAACCCACCTCCCTAAACTGGTTAATGGTGATATGGAAGATCCATTTGGTGAGTACCACCTGCATTTTACATAGTTAATGATATTTGTATTTTATCTTCATTTCTGAAGATCAAAACTTTAATAAGTTTTGATAGTAAATTAATTTTTTTTTCATATTCAGTATGCTACTATCTAGAATAGTGGTTCTCAAACTTTTTGCTTTCAGGATCCTTTTATACTCAAACATAATTGAGGGCATAATGAGCTTTTGTTTGTATGACATATATCTATTGATATTTACTGTATGACGGTACTTCAAGAAGTTTGTGGAAAAATAGAATTAAAAGATTATATAAATCTTTACATGTACATTTTTTTTTTCCTTTTTGTCTTTTTTCGTGTCCGGCAACGGACCGCAACCCTCAGTGTCGCACCCGTACCAGACCGGGACCGGCAACGGGATCGCAACCCTCGGTGCTGCGCCCACCCCTTGCTCAGCCAGTGAGCGGGAACCGGTCTGTATATGGGATCCGAACCCTCGGCAGGAGCGCCGCCACGCTCCCAAGCGGCGCACTGTAGCAGTGCGCCACCAGGCCGGCCCCATCCTTGACTTCTGTAAGAGTATCTGGCACATAGCAAGTGCTCAGTAAATTAGTGTTGAATGACTGAATGAATGAGAACATATTACATTGTGTCCAACTGTCATGTAAAATACAATATAGTAATAAGATATATTACAGTAGAATTTTACTCTATTTGCATATAAATAAATACATACGTATAGTTACATTCTTATGTTTGATGTCATTAAAACATGAACACTGGTGAGAATTAGTTCAAAGTTTATGTAATATCAAAAACACTCAATTATACTTTCAAATGTTTGTGAATAGCCATTTTGCCTTGTTTTGGTTTTTGCCTATTCTTAATAAAAGACTATGCAGCTATATTTGGAACTCAGTCATAATGAAATTCAGTCAACCTGGTTACTGAAGAACAGCAGTCTTCTCATTTTCCTTTTATATTTCACTTACTGATGATTCTATCATATTGGCTTAATGGTTGCTACTTTTAAAGTTCCTGCAGTTACACTTATATTAATCATAAAATGCTAATTACTTGTTAAATATACTCAATTACTAATTACTTATTAAAAATTCCATGACATTTTATAGCTACCTGTTAGTGAAAATCCATTCATAGTCATCAACTATATTGTTTTATTTTAAACATACAGTGGTTCTTACTGGTGAGGTATGCATAGATTTTTTTTCTTTTTTTTAACTGTCCAAGTGTGTAGAAGTTGCCCTCTACTGGGGAACTAGAAAAATTATGTTGACATAGATTTTCAATTTCCTTAAAGACTCTTAGTTAAATTCATTGATGTTATTTACCAGATGATCACTTCTTGTTCTCTGGCACTTTTAAGTTCCAAATATATTGAAGTGCTTAGCAGAGTACATTTTAAAATAAATACCTGAGTGAATATACCTACAGCCATTTTTTATTGAAAATGTTGGCTATTCTTTCTTAAACATTTCTTAGTAACCATACTCCATAGTTAAGGTCTAGAAGTAATTGTATTGGGATGAGTCTTTACTGAAACATTAAGGGGAATAATCGTATATAATTATACAATCAAAGTACTGTTTTTAACAATTCACCATAGGAATTTTGGGGATAAAGGTCTAAGCACTCTCAAAAATTTTTAGCTAGCTCCTTTTTGTTTTCCTGGGTCATAAAGTGAAATTTGATTATGGTAAAGTAATTTGCTTGTTCTATTAATTGTTGAACTTTTTATACCAGAAAATCACATGATCATAAAATGGCAAAGTCCATCACCAGTTCTTATAAACTGATAAGACAGTGTTCTTCCTTTCTCCGTCATTGCTTTTTCTTCTGCCTCCAAGAGTTCTGTCAGGCTTTGTATAACACTGCCCTAGAGAGGTTCAGAGCCCGGGATCCATCTCTAGGTTGTTCGGACCCCAATATCACAGTGTATGTTTTTCTTCTACCCACTGATATTTAATAGACATAAACATGTTATTAAGGAGAAGTGCTAACCGTAGGCCTCCTAAAAGAGTATTGGAGATCCCCAGGGGTCCCTAGGCTATGTGTTGAGAAATGCTGCTCTAGAATATTAGTTACCTCGAATAAAACCAAGAATCTTTTAGCAAGTTAAATTGAGAAATTTAAAGTTCTCTATTTTGATCAATCAGTAACTTATGTATACTTCTGTTTGGCTGGAAATTTAGTTTTGCTAATGTTTCAGAAACAAGTGTGCCTTGTAGTGCTTCATTAGTAGTTGGTCAATGAAAGATAACACAGAAGTAATCATACTAGCAGGGATGTGTAATATTTCTAATTAAGTTTTGCCCATATGTCATATTTCATCTAGCAACACGAGTAAGGGAATATAAATGTAGATATGCAAAGGTTTAATATCTGCCTTTGTGACTAAACAGTCAGTTACTGTGTGTTGAACTCTATTTTCCTATTGACTTTTATTTCAAAGTGAGAGATACATCTTGGGATATCAGATTTTTCTTTTTCTTCTTTTTTTTTTTTAAAAAAAAAAAAAAAGATGACCGGTAAGGGAATCTTAACGGTTGGCTTGGTGTTGTCAGCACCATGCTCAGCCATTGAGCCAACCGGCCATCCCTATGTAAGATCCGAACCTGTGGCTTTGGTGTTATCAGCACCACACTCTCCCAAGTGAGCCATGGGCCGGCCCAGATATCAGATTTTTCAAGTTAGGAAGTACTTTCCGTTTAAAAATATTCATCAGCAAAAAAAAAAAAAAAAGGGATCAAGACAGTTTTACTTGTTTAACCTCAGCATGCTGGAGGAAGCGTTTGATTCAAGCATTTTCTGATTCTTCACTGCTTCATGCAGTGAAGTCTTCCCAAATCCCTTTTTATGCCAGTGCAACTTGAGGAAGTATAGTAAAAATCTTACCAAGTTCATATTCTGCTCTTGTCCAGTTACCGATTGATAACTGAGGTTAGGCTCTTTGACAGCTCAGATAATTAGTTTTTGTCTTGCTTTGAGAAGACTGCTATTGAAAACCTTGCAAGATCAGAATTTCTCCTTTGATTATAATGAAACTACGTGACTTCTTCAGGAGCTTGGTTTTTTTTTCCCAGAAGGATACTTTACAGGATTACTAGTTCATCAATGAGATCCTTAGTTTGAACACTAGAGGGCAGTCTGTACTTTATTCATAAATTTGTAATTTCATTACCAAGTTAATTCTTAAGAGGATTATTTGTGAAGAATTAGGTAAATCAAGTTGTTTTTAGTAGCCTGGTGACAGATTCTAAAGAACATGTCCAGGGGCCGGCCTATGGCTCACTCGGGAGAGTGCGGTGCTGATAACACCAAGGTCACGGGTTCGGATCCCATATAGGGATGGCCGGTTTGCTCACTGGGTCAGGTGGTGATGACAACACCTAGTCAAGGGTTAAGATCCCCTTACCGGTCATCTTTTTAAAAAATAAATAAATAAATAAAAATAAAAAATAAAGAACATGTCCATATGATAAATTAGAGTAATGCATGAAAACTCCAAAGGTCTTTACTGGAAACTTAAGTTTTCTCTCCAAGTTACCTCCTTTCCTCATCCAACTTAAGTATAACTTAAAGTTTAATATAATCTAATTAATTAAATTTATTAAACTAATTAAATTCAACTGAAATTAAATTTAAATACACCTTAAATTTACTAGAGAGTATCAAAATGGGTGAAATGTGCTTTTGATGTTGGGTTTTTTGGTTTTTTTGTTTGTTTGTTTTTGGTGGCTGGCCAATATGGGGATCTAAACTCTTGACCTTCATGTTATAACACCAAGCTCTAACCAGCTGAGCTACCTGGCTAGCCTCCTACTCTTGATTGTTTACTAAGGGAGGCAAGAGTGTGGGTCTGTGCTAGTGGGAGGATTTTTTCTCTTACACTTAATTAAATTTTGGGATTTGTAAATTAATATTTACATTTGTAATGTGGATTTTAGAGAAAAACAGTAATGATTCAAGAAAAGAAAAAGTATTAAAAAAAAAGAAAAAAGAATGATTCATAGTTATATTTAACAATTAGCCTCCTTTTCTGTCTTCGTTCTTCCTTTAAATGTTATACTGATTTTTTTCTTAGTTATTTACAAAACATACATATGGTAACAGTTTGGTGTACTCAATGCCATTTGACAAAGAAAAGAATTCTGAATGTAAAATGAGTTTGTTTCTAAGAAGATGAAGCCCCTATAAGATGGAGTGAGGGGCTGGCCAGTTACCTGGTTGGTTAGAGCATGGTGCTGATAACACCACGGTCCAGGGTTCTGTCTGTGTACTGGCCAGTCACCTGAGAAAAAAAACAAATGGAGTGAGAATTTTGTTATAATCAAGTTAGCTAACAGTTATATAGATATATTGAAAAAGAATTATTTGTAGTATTCTGAAAATAAAAGTAGCAAGGGATTTTTATCCATCAAGTTCCAGTGGATAAGATCTAAGGCCTCTAGAGCCTTTCCTGCATGAACAGATTCTTCCTCATTTCACTATGTAATATTTAAAAATCATTTTTGTTAATATCAGTATTGGTCTCATTGGAAAAGTCTTTAAATATTGGTATGCTGTCAAACTCACTGTAGATATAGATTTTCCAAAATTCTAATTTTCACATGAAAACTTGAATTATATCATTGGCAACAAATACTGTCGGTTTTCTTTGTTAGTGACAGGCTTACTTTTGAGAAAATGTCTGTCAAATATCAAAGCTTGAATAATGTAGTTTGTCATTCATTATTTTAAATAAAAATGGTATTTCGTGAAGAAAACTGGCTAGTGCAGCTTGCAATGCAATCATACTAGTGCCTTTTCTGGAGATAACCATCATACTTAAGTATACAAACATGATTCATACATATGTACTTTTTGTGTTATCACATAAAATAATAAAAAGACATGTATAGAAGGGTTGAGATTTATTAAAACTAATAATTTTTATTGCTTCACTAAGGACTTTCTTTTTTTTTTTTTTTTGGCCACTCTAATCAACTGAGTTAACCATAACCAG